ACACTCTTTGCGAGGTTCTAAACGGATACAAATTATTATTGTCAGCTTTCTTTTCCAGTTATTAATAATTAACGTTTGCCAATTATATAAACTAGCTGTGTACACGAAGAATGCAAGCACACGCGCGATGTATTATTCACATTCAATTGTATATAATATTTATGTATACATATTATTATATATTGTATATGAATGATTTAATAAGCTTGAAACCAAGACACCGACTACTGGTTTTTTATGGGCTAATTTGCCAATAATGATATACTTAAACCACGTATAATAGTCTAAGAAATTCAATAACCTGCAGTGTAATAATATGTGTACCTACTACAGCATGCGTGTTTCTAGAATATGTTAATCATCCTTTATTCAAATATTTTCATTAGAAAACCTATTTGACAATTGTACTATAATATTTCGTTATTAAAATGATAATAATAATATATTTGTTCACTTTTATGTACATACATATATTACATATATTATTATTATAGGTATCTATGCAATCCAGAAGGATATAGATTCTATACCCCCCGTTATTCTCTAACCCGTCTAGATTATACATATGAATATGATAAAATAGGTACACCTAATAATTTAGAGAAATATCTTATAATACCTAGTAAAATTGTATTCGACACGCTGTGCTGTGTAAAAAATATGTACTATTTATAATTATACACAATTTTTTCGTACTTTAAAACGTCATTATGTATTAACTAACCGGAACGAGTATATATCAGCCCTATGTATATATCTTAACAAGATTACTTATATCTTTATATTATACCAAAGACTTGATTCAAAATCATAGTGCTTAAAAAATGTATTTCGTTTTTAATTTATAAAACAATTTATAATGAGGTAGTAATATATAGTAATACATTAAGTATTTAATTTTAAACTGTATGGTTAATGATATTGTTTTTTATATACATATTTCGGAAGACCGTTAATTTTGTACAGAATATATTTTTCAGTATGTAATAAACTCAAAAACCGTTTCTGTATAATAACTAATAAGTGTACCTACCGATCATTTATATATGTTTGTACCTATATAGACGTTAGGTATAGGTTATAACTTAAAGAGATAAGTACCGTCGAAAAATGTATAAAATCGGGTTCTTTAATATTTATAATTAGCATACTTTTCTCGTAATTATAAATAATTATTTTTTTTACTCTCAATTCCAAATTACATAGATTTACAAGTAAAATGTGATTTTGTACGGTGTTTATCGGCGGTAAAATTTAATTTTGTGCATTGTTGCCAAATACTAAATGACGTAGATTTCACAGTTGTATAACAAAATAAAATTAATCTATAGAACGACAAATTGTCAAATTGTCCAAAAAGCTTCTACAATATGTAAAACGAACAATTTGATATGTGCTTAGAGCTCACCCACTAATAAATGTATATACAATGTACAATATAGTATAAAGTAGTGTTGTAGGGTGGTGGAGGGGCACTATCTTCCTGACAATTTCGTGGGCGCAAAGGTTTAATTTGGGGGGAGGGAGGTTCAGGATTTTAATCGTGGTAAATAAATTATTTTTTCCCAGTTACGCAACTGGGCTATAAAGTGATACTAATATAAAATATTTATGGAGACCCATTATGTTGAAACAATGACAAAATTTTGTTCAATCACAAGATATGTCCATAAAATAATCGCTCTATGCGATTTAAAACTTATTAAAATTACTATAAAGAGGATGGTGTTTAACTATAGTTGTATGATTTATTTGATCTGACTAAGTTACATCACTTAAAAGTTGAATAATTTTAAGCTAGCCAATGTTGGAGCCTATTTAGTATCCAAGCGATTTTGTTGTATTTAAAGATTCCTTTACTATTCTGCACATTTGTATGTGCAATTATCGTATTGGCGAGCATTCAAAATGTACCTGTACAATTAAGTTCTCTGCAAATTCACTAATCTTTTTCATAAAATTTGACACGAAAGATCATAAAAATTTTACATAAATATTAATTTCACGTTTATTAATAAAAAATATTCATCCTGTTAAAAAATACTATAAATTAATATAGTGACCCATATTGTAAACACAAAAAACCTACCAACTAACACACATTTAAATTAATTTAAATTACTCACACATTTTATACTTCAATATTATTATAAAAAAAATAAATTTTTTTTATAAACCACATTCATATGGAATATAGATGAATTTAATACACTAGTAAATCTAGAAGTTGAGGTTAACGAACGATCAAGTGCAATAGAGTAACTTCTTTATAAAATAATATACATAGTAATAAAGACGTAAAAATGTTTGGAACTTTGTATTTATCTTCTGAGTACATACTATTACCTACTGGCAATACTGCTTACAACTAATGGAAATATGATGATGATATTTGATCACAGCTATAATTAAATATATAATGTATATTGTATGTACTTTTAGTATCTAAATATCAGTTCAAAACCAACAGTAATAATATGTATAAGAGAGTGAAATGAAAAAAATTTATTTTATTTTATGTAATTTAAACGTCTTAAACCAACCTTATTAATGATTGTTGGTTATATCTGTAATGAATTGTAAATTAAATACATTATCCTACTTTTATTTATCATTTTTAATTTCTTATTAAAATTGAAAATATTGTCAATATTACACAAAAGAAGTATGATAGGTACCTATTATACCGTTAAAAATGTTAAAACATTTCTATCACACGTGAAGATAAAAATGATATAAAGGTTTAACACGAAGTCTTACAATATTATTGATGAGTGAAATTATATTTTTATCAATGATCTATTTTGCACATTCCATTATCGCCAACATAAAATTGAATTGTATTACCTACAATTGTACTTTTTAAAATTCAAATCACACATTTTCATTCGATCACATATTATTCGTTTTGCCTTAACAAAACAATCCTGTTCTACTTCATGTATAATCAAATCTATTCATTATTTTCTATTATATACGTACGTGAAACGTATAATATATACCTAACATATTATTATGTAGGTATACCCGTAGCTAATACAAACATGAATCAGAAGATATAAATTACTAATTGTTACACGCTATAATAGTCACTTAAATCTTTTCTTCGAACTCCATGAGAACTAAAATTAATATGCTTTAATTAAAACAATGAATGAATACACCATTTAAAATATATTTCAATGTCACCTTACAAACGTTTAATGATAGTTGAGAAAAAATGCTTATCTTATGAATAAGATTATTGATAAAATGTTTTTTTTTTTGTTTTACTCGAAATATTTAACATTTAAGGAAGCCAGAAGCGTAAGACTTTTAAAATACATTTTATAGATAATTCAAACGTGTGTAGGGTTAGGGTACATAATACACGTATGAAACTATTTTATTCTACCAATGAATATAATGATACCTACTATAAAAGTGAATTATTCTTTCTTTTTGTATAAAACTAGACTATATCAGAGTTTTTTAATCGTTAGTCATTTTTTTCTGCATAATGCACTTTAGTAATGAGTTGTTTTTTATTTTTTAAATGAACTTATATTATAATACAAATTGAACGCAGTGTTCAATTAATTTTCTTAAAAATACTGGGGCAACGATGTTCCATATTTTTCATAAATTATGATAATGCTAGTGAGGTGGGCAATAAATAATATAAAGACCGTAATATTAGTACAATAAAATCATTTACTGTGTAAAACTCACTAACATACTATTCCCATAATTATTCTTTTAATTTAATTGTCACCCACGATTAATTTTTCGTATAGGTACCTACTAATAATTTCGATAATTATTATTAAACAGAGCATAACGTGGCGTATTTTATAATGTAGTCCTTTTTCATTAGGTACCGTATACGTAGCTTAATTTGACAGTAATTTGATGTTTTTTAAAACACTTAAAAACTAAAATATGCAGTCTTCGTTTAACCTAGATTATTTTATTATTCATATTTTATAAATTGAATAAAATATTTATTAATAAAAATAAATGCAAAAATTAAGAATTAATGTCTACTTTATATCTCAATTTATTGTATAAATTAATTAAAAATATGAAACATTTATGCTATAATGCATTGTAGACTATTTATGGCGTAATACAGAGTAATACACAAATTTGGGATGACCTACAAGTATTTATTATCTTAACATTATACTTAATATGGTCATGACTCATGAGTCATGAGTTATAACGATAATAACTTTAACTTATTTTGATTGCAAATTATTTTAACTGTCGAGCATATTATATTATTGTAATTGTATTTATTTATTAATATTGGACTTAAGAAACATTATCATGTTATTAATATTACTGAATATGCATAATATTTTAAAACACGCACAAAATATGTTCCATTTAAATAAAAACTAATTTACGTTTGAATTAATTATCCTTTAATGCTTACTGCAGAATAATGGAATTAAAACAAAAAATGATAAACATAAATCAGCGGGTATAAAATAAATAGGTACGAAAATAAATTTACATTTTTGAAACACGATTGCGTATATTATTTGACAAAATATAACAAGAATCCCTAACATACGATGCCTACAAATTAAAATTGCACAATAAATAAGCTACCACACTATTACATTAGAAATTTCTTATTAAACAGTTAGTTTTTTTAATAATTATTAAATTACATTATTTTGTCAGATTTAAAATAAATATAACAATGTTTTTGTGAAAACAATTTAGACGACAACACAATAAAGCCAGAAACGTTTTATTATAATAATTGATTTTTATAATATATTATTATATAGAACAGTTTTAAACGTTTCATTTGGTCAAGTGACCTGCAAGATTTTAAATCGCAATCATTAATTTGCTTTAAATATAACAAGCACCATGCCGGGGGGGAGGGGGGTAGAGGACACGCTATAACTGTTGGCTAGTATAATAAGTCCACCTCATATTATTCTATCTTGTCTATTAGACCTCAAAATAACTAAATCACGCCCCATTATTTCGTTTTGCAGTTGGCGCAGAGCGCTGTGAGCGTGGGCGGGGGTGGAGGTGGTGGCGGAGCCAGTGACATTTGGCCATTGGAGCGACCCGACGGCATGCCGGTGATCCAGTCGTTGGAGGTAATGTGTGGCAAGGACCACATGGACGTGCATTTGCAGTTCACTCATCCTTTCGAAGGCATCGTGTCGTCCAAAGGCCAGTACGCTGACCCCCGGTGCGTGTACGTGCCGCCGTCCACTGGCAAGACGTTCTTCACTTTCCGCATAGCGTACGCGCGGTGTGGCACCAAACCTGACCTCAACGGCCAGTTCTACGAGAACACTGTGGTCGTCCAGTACGACAAGGACCTACTGGAAGTGTGGGACGAGGCCAAGCGGTTGCGGTGCGAGTGGTACAATGACTACGAGAAGACTGCGTCTAAACCACCTATGGTCATCGCCGACCTGGACGTTATACAGTTGGACTTCAGAGGTGAGGCGATTAAAATGTATTAGTGCGAGTAGAGCTTATCTGTAAGAAAGAGCGATTTGCTCTTCATTTTGATAAACGTTTTGTACATCGAACTTCACTCACTCGGATTCGTTTTTGGATCATATTTAAAATGAAATCACACACCTTCAACTTCGTGATCACTACATGTGTTTATACATATTATTATGTGTGTCTATATTATTATATCCGTGTCCATTGAGTATATACTACATATCAATATATCATGATAATTATTAATAAATTATATCATTTTTGTCTGAAATACTAGGTGATAACGTCGATTGTTGGATGGAAATACAACACGGAAAAGGACCTTGGGCACCACCAGTTAGCGGTATAGTGCCTTTGGGTTCTACGTTAACCTTAGTGGTAGCCATCAATGATTATAGAGGTAATAAATAACACTATAAAAGTATTAACATAACCGTACACAATTTTAAAATAGTATATACTATAAAGTCTGTAGTAGAATAAGCGTAGTAACGGTAATGTAAACACTATAATAACTGCGGATGACGAGTGATTGTATTCAGAAAATATTAAAGGGTCCTATCCGATGACTGCAGTATCATACATTTTATACAATTTATGAAGAATATTAGAATTAACAAATTTTTTTTTAACTAAAACATTAAAATTTTTTTTTAATGTTATTTTAATTTAATTGGTAAATATCGATGTTCTCAAACATTATTCAAAATCACTGAACTGTACAATTGAGTTTTCCCCTATTGGGGGCAGCAATTTTAATTCCATTAGCTAAATTTTCATTGAAACAATATATTGACAAAAATATAATTCTTAGTACCTATATACTAATAATTAGGGAGGAGAACTTCTGGAGTTTCACTCAACCGAAAAAAAGCGTCAGCTAGAAATGAACTTATTTCATGTTAAGACTAAACCAAATCTTTATATTACATATTTTGCATCATACTTATATATTGTTTAGACATGATGATTATGTTTATTTTTATTTTTAAGGCATATTTCTTTTGTTTGTGCTATTTTTGCAAATTTTCTTTTAAATAACGTTTATTAAAACGTCAATATTTTCTAATACCATTTTACGTTTGATTATTTGAAATCCTCCACACACTGACACTGCACTGACTGTGGGCCAATTGAGTATTAAAGTCTACACACGTAGTCGTGTTTTGTTTAACGTAATTTTTATTAGTTGTTTTAGATGCAATTTTTAATAAATTAAATAATTTGATAGAAAACAATTTTTAGTGCATTTACAGGGCTATATAATATGTCCTTCTGCATTAAAAATAATTAATCTATGTATTACTTTTTAAACAAAAAAACAATGAAAACGAAATGTGACACTGTCCGATAACCGGACAAGTTTTTCGTGTTTACAGGTCAGTGTTCAAAAGTATAGAGACGACTATCGATCATACAACCACATAAATAAATTATATTATATTATATTATATCTATAATATTATACTATAATATTATATCTAAAAAAAAATGCTTAAATTACCTATATGCTTATGAATTTTGTTTTGTTGTTCCTGCGCAGGCGAGTTTGACATGAGGGTGAAATCTTGCGCCGCGTCCGACGGGGGTGGGCACGTCATTCAGCTGACCGACGACCAGGGGTGCGTTTTAAGACCAAAAATGATTAGTGGGTTCCTGAAAGCTCGGACTTCCGACGAACGAGCGTCCGTCATCACATACGCGTTCTTCCACGCCTTCAAGTTCCCGGATGCGCTCAGCGTGCATATCCGGTGCAAGGTGGAGATATGCAGGCACGGTTGCCTGGACCACTGTCAGACGGACGAACGTGCATCGGCCGGACATTTACTTCAACAACAGCAACAGCACCAGCTCCAATATGGACCGGTGGATAGGAAAGACCAGCAGAACGATCGGTTAGACTATGTCCAAACAGTCGTGGTCAACACGGACCAACCGAGTGCTCAAGCGCAGATGGCAGTGCACACTCCGTTCGATACTTCCAGTCACAGTAACAAGCCTCAACCTGGTCAAAACAAGGTACGGTACTAAAAAAATATTTTTTTTATCTCACCATTTGTTATAGGTTTATGTGTGTAAGCATATTTAATGATTCGCTTCTGTGTGTGGTATTGGAGTTCTGCAATAGGGATTAAATTTTAGTCATCCATTTTTATTCATCGTATTACATGTATATGAGGTTAAGCAGTATACACTATACGCATACAGCTGAGCTTCAATATATTCATGAATTTTCATATAAATCTGGTCAATTCGTATTAAATTCAATATAAAATAAATATTATCGATGAACGTATCACATAGATAGTTCGATTATTTAGAATAACACATTTCTGTAATTAAAGTCTAATAAAAATGATTACAAGAATGAATGCACTAACCAAAAAACATGTTAAGATGAGATTAAGTTTTATCTATACATTTAAAAAATAAGTATTATAATATCATAATTATTCTTCATATTTATGAATTTTTAATTTTTATTGAAATACACTTAATCAAGGTTTTTTTACTACATATTTAAGTGTATGTATCAGAATGTTCAAGAGTATAGCTACATATAGGTGATATTCAAGCATTTGTATAAATAAATTCATTTAATAATTTAAAAATGTTGTAAGGTTGGAAATAGCTTTTGTGGTGCATACAAAAAACAATGTACTATACATCAACACCTCCAATTTGATTAAAACCGAAAACGATTTTTCGCAGGAAACGTTGAACCGAGACGGTTTCCCGCACGGACCACGGAACCTGGACGACGGCGTAGTCGCGCCGTCGGAAGGTAGCGACGACGACGACAAGCAGCAGCCAACCGCGGCGCCGGCGTCCTCCAATAATGGGACAGCGGGCGAGCAGACGGCCTCGGGCTTCGCGCAGGTGCAGAGGCGCCGGCGGCGGCGTTCCGTGAACGTGTCGGACGCGGGCAACGCTGACGTGGGCGTCAGCGGGTTGTACGACGTCATATCGCAATCGGACCTGGCGTTCACGCCGGACACCAAGACGGACAGCGAGGCGGTAACCATATTCCAGGGAAGGATCCACGAGGACGTGGTGTATGGCATATGCATGCCGGTGCACGGTTTCGGCGCGCTGTTCGTCATGTTCGCGGGTTCGGCGATCGTGTCCGTCGTGGTGGCCGGGTTCCAGTTGCACAAGTACCAGGTGAGGCGGGAGACGCAAAAAATGATGTCCGTCCAGGCCCACCAGCACAACGTGGCCGCAGCCGCCGTGGCCGCCGGTGGGGGTTACATACACAACTCGCTTGCCGGCATCGTGGCGCTAAACAAACTGATCGCGTCCAAAACGACCACCACCGCCCAAACCAGACGAAACAGCTAATCGACTACTATTAATAATAATAATATTATATAATATTATATTATACCGTCTATTATAAATACACATAATTACTACTACGATGACGATCACGTTTTTCGTCCATAAATCACGAGATCGTTGTCATTATTATTATTATTATTATTATTATTATTATTATTATCAATTATCAATTATCATCATCATCATCAGTATCGTTCTTGTGCGTTTATAAACACTCATCAATGACCATCTGGATTTGTTGTAGTGGGGGGAGATCCATTTCACTCAAAATATAATTAACACATTTTTTTCTTTTTGCCGTCACCGAACTGAAAAGATAAATATATTTTTATTGATATTTATTCTGCAGTTTCTTTCCGATACGATTGTACTACTACACTTACATAATATCACTATATTATTAAAAATTCCTAAGCCATAAACGGAAGTAATCGAACCACCAACATTAATTATTTTATTGTAATCAAAGAATTGTGAGTCACATTCCAGAAAAGAAATATAAATTATTTTCATTTTCATTTTTTTTTAAATTAATACATATTATTTTCTATTTTTACTGTCAACCGGCGGAAAATCCTTAAAAACGGCCCTGGATATTAGTGTATAAGTAACGCTCTACATCGTTTGAATGGCCTAACATGAACAAAAATACACAAAATATACCTAGGTATAATATATTCTACCGTCAAAAATTGATATTATAAGTACATTTAGATTCTTAAACATAAAGGCTTAAATGGCACTATGGCAGCCCACTACCACGACACTAATTCAATCTTTGAACCTTACCGCCACTTACTGAGAGATGTATATTTACTAAAACACTCCAACTTGTATTGTGATGTAATATGTTATAATACCCCAGTTGATGTTTACAGTAAATATTTTTTAATTTACACGTTTAAGAATATTGTAGTATACATAATATAATGGACTATTATTATTATTATTATTATTTCGTATTGAGTTTTAATTAAAAAAGTTTTTTTTAATTGGTGCTAAATTCTAAATCAGCAATGGATATTTAACTTAAATACAACATGCATACGTATTTGTAATTTAAATATTTATTAGTGATTTGTTCGAGTAACGCATATACATAGATTACCGTTATGTTTTAAAAAATCTGTGAAAAAAAACTTTTTAGACAATTAATTTATTCCCCTTTTAGATAGCATGATATTAAGTTTAATTTTACTTGTGTAAATAAATATCTAAATACTGAATGATAGCAATCAAAACTAGATAATTTTGTTATTATTTAATATATTGTAATATTATATAGTTTTAATCACAGATTATATGAAAATAATAATATATCAAATAATAAAATAAAATAATAATATCATTTTCATATAATCTGTGTTTTAATATTGTGTAGTCATGAAACTGGCCAGTTCTTCGTAATAACGGTTGAAGTTTTATTTACAAATCTAGCAAATTTTATTATCTAGTTAAACCAAAATTTTTTGCGACTTATAAAATAAATTCTTAAAGTTAGTTAAAGTTGTATTTATGACACGATGTTTCGCACAGGTGAAACGTGTAGGTACATTCATGCAAACGAACATCTTATTTTAAGTGAATATATATTGTAGCCTATAGAATAATATTAAAATGTGCATCTGATTTACAACACGTGTTGGCATTTTTTACTTAATAATTAAGTTCTTGTAAATATTTTATTATTATTGTGTATTTATTATTTATTATTTTGACGTTAAATTGTTTTGCTCAGCATTTTGATGAGGGGTGAACAGAATGAAAATGGAATTTTTTCTTAATATTAATTAATGACATTTGTAGTATATTATGTGAATGAAAATACTACAAATGGTATATCAAAATACTAAAAATTGTACATACCTTAGATCTTTTAGGTATGTACGTACAATTTTCTTAGAAAAATATTTTGATTCTGGTTCAAATAACTCTCGATGTCCCTATCTAAAGAAAATATGATTATTATTGAGTTATTCATCAAAATTAAAAGATGTACATTTAGTTATTATCTAATCCATTTTTACTCTGAGCCTCACATAATATTGTATCTTTTATTTTATGGTATAATTTTTACTGCGTTAATTTTTTTTTATACATTTATAAATATTTTGTTATTTTCATAAAGTTAATAACTGTATCATGTAAATAAATTTTGAACAAGTTTTATAATTGTATTTTATTTATTACTACAGTAGAACTTCGATTAACCGTCACTGTCGGGACCGGGGCTATGACGGTTAATCGAATAGACGGTTAACGGAAATTTTGCAAAAAAAAACGTGTGCATACATATATGTACACACATTTATAACATATAAATTAATTATTATAACACATATAAATTATAAACATACATACCACACATATTATAAAAAAAAATCTGTAATTTTAGTTTGGTTTTTTGATTCTCTAGCTTTTTTAGCAGCAATATTACGTATTTGACGTAGAAGTAAGACTTGCGTAGCATTTGACAATCGTCTAATCGCCTCATTATTTATTTTTTTCGGCGATGACCGATGACGGATAACAGAGAGTGACGGTTAATCGAAGTTCTACTGTATTTGAATCTGAACCAAATACACTGTTAACTGCACATAACATAATGACTTTTAAGTTTTAACAAATTATAAAATATAAAATTACCCATAAGCCATAACCCATGGTTTAAATGCCTTCACTACATAATAATAATTTATATTTGACATTTTAACTACAATTCATACTATAAATAATGTTTGTAATAACAGTCCTAACACGAGAAACTTGTGATGATTAAAATATATGTTGCCATTAAAGACCTAAATTAAGGACTTATAATTCCTATTTCCTACCTGGCTACCTATAAGTACCAAAGTACCTAACGATATTAACGGTATTTCTGAGCAATTCGACTGTATATCTACGATATTGATTAAGAAATGCTCATTATTTTATTAAAAGTCTGAGTGCGTCCCAGTTCATTCGAGGTGCCCTGCGGGGTGCACCACGAGGAGCCGTGAACTGACTTACCTACACCTTGAAATTATTTGATTATTATTTTTTTGAAATGCGCACGTTTTCACAAGTTTGGGTGAGTGTACTAATCATATATATTTTATCTATCATCTGCAGAGTACATCGTCGGACCTGTAACTTGAACAATTTTAGCTGCTTAGTCTATGTTAAATAAGCACTTACTACTGTCGACCGAAAACACACTCGGGCAATTGAACATAATTTGTCGATAAGACTGCGAAACAAGCAGACTATGAAAATGGTAAAAACGTGACGCAATCGGCTCACATTATAATCATTGGATACTTAACAGGCGACGTAATTTGAAATTGATGAGCCGGGCTCGTAAAGTCGTAAATTGTAAGTGTTAGACATTATATAGTATTAAACATTTGCATATCAATCTTGGCAATCTTGCTAAGTCTTGCTGGGTAAATAGAGATTTATTTCAATGTGACAGAATTCAATGAATACAATTTTATTTTACATAAATGTCGAGTTTTTTGGAATATTTGGCATATATATACCATTGATTATATATACCAGCGGTTCTCACACTTTTTGGTTCACGGAGCACTCATGTTCCTAAAAAAAATTACGGAGCCCCCAAAATTCAGAAATGTCTATTTGAGACAACAATAATTCATAGAAAATGATGTTGATTATAAACAAATATGTGGATTTATAAATAGTTTACAGTTTTAAACTTTAAAATAATACATATTGGTACGGTCCAAATAATATTGAATACAAGTATAAAAATTAAAAATGTAACTAAGAAATATAATAATAATTTAATAATTTGAATTTAATTAATACAGATGATATATGGGAGCCACGGAGCCCCTAGATTACTATCGCGGAGCCCCAGGGCTCCACGGAACACAGTTTGAGAACCGCTGATATATACTATATGGGTATAATCAATGATTATACGTAGCAATAGTTAGTTAAGAAGTACATACTGACCATACTGTTTCATAGTAAATTATTTACAAATTTTTAGGTAGGTAGGTAAGTACCAGTAAGTAATTATTAATTTTAGTACATTTTCAGTTTTGTTGTATAATTAATGAAATTGTGGGAAATGACAATAGGTACCTAATACCAGGCCCGTGCGCAAGGGGGGGGGGGTTCAAACCCCCCCCCCATGGCCGAAAAATCGTGTTTTTCATGTTTGATCTATTAACTATATGTCATATTTTCTAATCTTAATTGTAATAAATAATAATGCATAACATAATAGTACAATACTATAATAATATAATATAGTGTTGTCTTCACGTTTGCTGTTTATCGACTTTCGTAATCGTTGCCGTTATCGATAAAATATAATGACAATAAATGTATGAATATAAGTATAGAGCATACACGTCACACAATAATATTTTATTCGACCGCAATTAGTAGGACACGAGATTACACGATAACGGATTTCGGGTATTTTAAAAGTTGTTTATAATTATAGTTCATACAAAACGATTGTAAGCTCACAGTGAGACGTTAGTTATAGTGTTACGTTAGAAATAACATAAAAATGGACATTCGAAATTTTTTCAAAAAACCACGGCTAGAAAATGATGAGATAGTAAGTACATTAAAATTAATTATAATTTATAAATATAATTTATTTATTATTTATTAAAAAAATGATTTGTATTTTATAGTAGGTGTTGTTCAAAAACACATTTAACATAGGTACTTACAAAATTAATAATAAATATAAATATGTTATAATACTATTTGCTAATTATTGATGTATCTATGTTATAAATTTTTTTTTTCAAAACACCCCCCATTCTGAAATCCTGCGCACGGGCCTGCCTAATACTAAAATAATCACTTTTATAATATTATTTATCATATGTAATCATGTCAGAACTTAATAATTGATATATTATTACTGAGTGGAACGATAATTGTATTGATTTTACAATGATGTTTTTTGTTTGTTTACCTATATATAGTACCTAATTACATACACAGAACACAAAAAGTAGTGGAATCTATACTTCGATTTTCAACGTTGAGGGTGATTTCTGATAGCAACTTGGATCTAGTTAGTACTTGATAGAGGTAAAAATTGAAAATTTCCAGTACTTTTCTTAATAATTGAGATGGACAAAAAATTAAAGGGGATATTTTCGCAAAACCAGTTTATGACAAAATCGATATTGTTATTTGGACATTTGGTGTACCTAAGTCCTAAGTGTAACTAAGCAACAAATAACAGTAAATAGATACTTGACATTTTCACCAAATGTTTATATTATAGCAATTATTTCTGTAGATGATTAAATTTTCAACATTTGTTGACGGTTTTCAAACTATTTCAAAAATTTTACAGTTTCGATTTGTTTTCTTTAAATGTCGATAAAACTTTTGGATGGTTCAAAAAAAATGTAATACAAGGCCTCCTCATAAATTGTCATGAAGCAGAAAATAATACGTGAACCTCAGGCGTAATGATAAAATAGATTTTTTTTAGGGGAGGGAGTCCCATTGTAAATTTTCAATATGCTGTTTCATTGTAGGCTCTGTCCTCGCACCCCCTCCAACGGTTTAATGTTAGTGACATTCACATAAAATCATGTCTATATGCTATCCTTAATATTTTTAATTTGCTATAATAATCAATAGGCATGATTCCTTTAAAAAATAGATATCATTAACATGAAATGGTTGGATGGGGTGAGGGGGCAGAGCCCTCAATGAAACAGCATATTGAAAATGTATAATGGGGCTTCATCCTCCACCCTCCCCAAAATATTTCATCACTACGCCTGAAGCTTAATTACAGTCGACTCTCGATAATTCAAACCTTCGGTAATTCGAAGTAAATACTCAGTCCCTTGAAAATCACGCAGTAATTCGAACAAAGACAATGCATTTAAGTACACTCAGCAATTCGAAATTATATTTTGGGAAAACTGGCCACTAACAAGTGACAATTCGAAGTATAACTAGTTCAACCCACGGAATTTCGAAGTATATTCACCAATTGGATTTTATCTGTATCTGTGAACAGACGCCAAACATTGGCGTATTGGCGGTTATGATATTTGTTGATAAGGCATGGACTTTTCTGGTGACTTTAAAAGAAGCCAGTTCGTCCTTGGAAAAATTACGAAACTTTTCGCTCCAGTCAGAAGTCACTGTTGAGTGTTGAGGTTTTTGATGCTTTATTTACTATAGAAAATACTATTGAAAAAATGAAACTAAATTCGATGAAGCAAAAAAACCATTACAGATTTCTTCAAAAAATAAAAATTTAATTTATACAGTATAATTATAATCTACCTAGTTTAATTTAAAATTTAAAAACAATAAATAACTCTAATATGTACTTTATGTGTAATTTACTTATACTTTACTTTACTCTTTATACTTTATATGTAATTTACTGAATTAATTAATATGTACAATAATAAAAAACAAATTTTTTTTCTTAACTCTGTGATTTGAATTTTTTTTTGCCCTTTGATTATTTCGAACCACTCAATAATTCGAAGTTTTTCAACAGTCCCGTCAACTTCGAATTATCGAGAGTCGACAATATTATTTTCTACTTCATAGCACTCAAGATTACCTTAAAATCATCTAGTCACAAAATATTTCATTCCAAATTAGACTGAATCATATCCTCTAATATTTCAAATGCCCTCTAAAATTTTTAGGTAATACACCTCTTCATATCGATAAACAATGATGTTGATTGTTGACATATGTTGGAATTACCAAAAAAAAAAAAAATGGTTTATAGCCTTATATAGGTTAATCGTAACTCGTAAGTTAACATACATCAGAAACGCTAGCAGAGAATTCCTTCACTAGACTTTGCTACCCCCCCCCCCCCATTCTAACACTACACTTAAATGCAACCTTTACATATTAATAATCAAAGTTGGATTTAACAAAGGGCATAAAAGGCAAATGTCCTTGGCACCGATTTTTGGTAGAGCCTCTACAAAATTACCTTTTAGATTCTGAGTGGAGCGATGAATTCATTGATTTTACAATATGTGATTTATATTTTATTTTTTTTTTGTGTCCGTCATCACGATTTCGGTCAGTAAAAAAACTTCGATTTTCTTCAACAGCAACTTTTCTGGAAGGAAAGTGAATTTAGTTGGCACATTCGGGAGGTCAAAATTTTAAATTCCCAATCGTTTTCAAAAGCAACAGGAAAAACAAACAAATAATTAAGGAAAAACAGGAATTTTAAGCAAAAACCAGTTTTTGAAAAACTTTGGTTTTTAGTGTCACTCTAACAAAAATGACCGTAGATATCAACATGGAGTTTTTACAAAATATTTGTGTTAGAATTTTCTAAACACAACAAAGTTTTCAAAATATTTTGATTTGTGTTGAAATTGTTACAACATAAACCTATAGGACATTCACTCGATTTCTCTCGTAGCGATTTTCTTATTTTGTTGTAATTCCAAAACGAATTACTGCAGACACTTGAAATTTACACCAAATGTTTATTTCATCTATTCATATACTTTATAACATTTTCAAAATAAATATAATCTATTGTTAGGTACACCGATTGATCATTTAAATTCTACGGTATAAAAATATTAATAATCGCGCCAAGTCCTAATTATTGATGCCTAATAAAAACAACATTAAGTTAGGAACATAAATGGCAATTAAAGATTTGCAAAGCACTAAAAATTAATTATAAATTACAATTTATAAAGTATATAACATAATTTATTTATGATAGAATTTTGGTATAGGTACTATATATATATATTATACATTTGTATACATTTTATTCAGTTAATTTATCATTAACGAAGCATGTTAATTAAAAATTCTATTTTTTTTATCGGTGTTGACCCTAAAAGGCACGAAGTTACTTCTTTTTCAAAGTTGATTTTAATAATATTTTACATTATTTAAAATGTTCTATTTTTTATTGTTGTTTTTTACAGACACAATTTAAATATATCTACATTGATTAGATAAAAGTGTTTAGTCAGGGACGTACCTAGACATTTTTTTTTTTTTTGGGGGGGGGGGGAGACACCCAACCCTCCCCCCTAGGTATGCCCCTGTATATAGTATAAGGTTAACTTAAAGAACTAAAAACCATTAGTAAAAAACACAATAACGATGCTTTTGTTTTTGCTCTTCTATAAAATTTAAATTAAGAAGAAGCAACTAAGTGCCCTTTAATAGAATACCCACAGAGTTATACGACTACATTTATTTAGTTTAAAATATGCTATTTAAAATTATATATTATTATTTATTATATATTATTGAGCTACATTTATCATATCGATCAATATATATTATATAGAGTATAAACTGTGTACAAACAGAAAATGTAAGTATAATTTACTGGGTAGGTAGGTGCTAAAATATACAATAAAAAAATTTCTAAAATCAAGTGATAAACTAACTCAATGCGTTGTATACATTTCAACTCAGTCATCGACCAAAATTTAACATACAGTTTAACAAAAATAAATATTAATAAATAATATTATTCTTAAAGGACTACCCAAATATAATTAAAATATTCTATAAATCTACAACTTAAATGAATCCATAATATATTAATAAATATATCACATAAATATACCTATATAAATTTCTTATAGTTTAAATATAAATAAGTCATAAAAATGCAGAACTTAAATGGAAGGTTGATTGGCCAAGATCATTAACTGCTGATGAACAGCAGTCACCTGCTATCAATTATAAAAAAAAAGAATGAGTACTGAAACCTGAAGCGTAGGTGTATGAGGGTAAAGCCAACCAAAAATCATAGCATAAATCACAGTGTTCACTAATGATTCTAAGCATAGCTCACATATACCAAAATTAGTGCATATTTGTTTAATATATAAGTATATTAAAAAAATAATGTTAACCATTATTTCTAATACAATTCTAGGAAATTCATAAGATGGTAAACAATCTATGTTAAATATCCAAAACCACAATTACAATGCATGAAATGTTTTAACCATTTTTACTGTGTGTTTTTCAATAAATAATTAGAATGTAACTATTTTAAAGTCTATATAAAAAATATGATTAATATGATTGATACTATTTTTCTGTTAGAGAAATCATCATTTCAATGTACATATTTTAACACGAAAGATCGTCTTTTTGTATATTATTTACTAATTATAGTTGTACTCAGTGCTTAATAGTAATAAAAATACACAAAATTGTAGGTAAAATGTGCGTATATCCTGATTAAAATGTTAAATTGGATGGTAACTAATTTTTATGTTACAAAACATTGTACAAAATATCAAATAAATATTGCTATGCATAAATGTAGTATACAAAAACTCAAAAGGTGCACTTCAATATTTTATTTAAAATAAGCAAGTTACTCTGTACATCCTTCCTAATTCAACCACTGACTATCCAATTATATGCATCAGTGTCTCCCAACTAGTTACTTGGGCCTGCCATAGGTGCCAGGTGGTCCATGGAGCTTAAGAATTTTCAAATTTTGTGAAATAATAGTAAGATTTTATATTTGATGTGGTTGTGTTCAAGGTTGATAATCAAGTATAATGGCAAGCAGATAATAATAAGTATTATGCAGATTGATAATAATCATGACTTGTTTCTTATTATTACCTATACTGCTGCTGTCTGATATAAGATATAATATTATTTATTCTAAAATCTAAAGTTTGTGAATAAAGTGATCCTTGTATAAAACTAAAAAAAGTTGGGAAACAGTGATGTACATAGTTTGATTAATGATCTAAACATAACAAAAAGTTTACACAATTTAAACAAGTAGAATTAATTCCTATATAATACATTATTATATCACCTCTAGTTCCAAATAAAATTTAAAAAGTATTACATTTTTTTTGTTTAAAATTAATTATGAAACAATAAATAAACTTTAATTTAATTAGGTAACTCAAATAAAAAGAATACTACTGCAGTATAATAATAGTAAAAAAATTAAATAATTTAATTTTGAATTGGTATCTAAATACTATATTAGTTTGATTTAGGTTTTAACAAAATACATACAAGTGCAATAAGTATATAACAAAAGATAATATAATACTTGTTTACTATGGACTTATATTGAAAGATTAATAACTTTTTGTAGTTTTCTGCCAACGTATACTAAAATACATATGCTCTGGTAAAAGTACACTTGAATGTTTATATTTTTTATGGTAATCATATGTGCTGTGAATACTAAAATGGAAATAATGAAGACATTTTAAGCCAATAAAATTAATAGACGAATCAAGTGTTTAAAAATAATTACCAAAATAGAACTTGAACATAAACCCCATAGCCTGCGAAAATATGCCACCAGGCATGCATTTGTGTGAATGGTTGAAGAAACACTGGAATCTGTTCTCTTAGTACCCTGTACAGTTAAAAGTAAATAGATAGTTGATTAGATTTCACCTAGGTACTATAGTAGATACACAATTAATTAATATATTTATATATATGTCTCATCCATTTAATGAAATTGTTCTTTTCGTGAAATGTATGTTCACCTTTTTTTAAAGAATTTTGATAACTTTCATAAAATACATGAACATTTTTTGGCATTATAGAAGTGTTTTCATATGAATATCCATATTGTGTAAATATATTCATCATTATAATAGAATACCAATATTGCATACAATTAACCAATAGTCATTACAAATGATCATTTTCTTAAATATTAAATTACTAGAACTAATTAGAACTTAATTTATGGATGTATTGGAAGTGAAAAGAGGCCAAACAGATGTTCCAAACATAATATGTGTTGTATTAAATAATAATAATAATAATTTCTATTACAAATTACTAATTAAGTATTGACAAGTGCAGATATAGTGTGCTCGGGCACCCCAGTCATCTAAGCCACCAATATTATAAATTTGTATAATAAACTACCTAATCTAAAATAAAAAGGTATAACCTTCTTTTGAAACACCCTTTGTTAACATTTAACGGATTCGATCCTGGATACTAAGCATGGGATGATTCAGAATTAATACGGTGGGGACTGTTTTAAAAAAACTTATACTTGAGAGTAACTCTGTAACAGTTGAAGATACAGTAATGTAGACACAACAAATAATAAAATAAATGGTTAGTGGGATTCTAGATGCTCAGTGCTATTTTTTTTTTTGCGTATTATGCAACATATAAAACAAAAATACATTGCCTAACTAGCAAATTTTTATTTATAAATGTATGTGCTTAAAAATACTGTTATGCAACAGCTTCTGCCTCAACTACAATAGCCGCAATAATATAGATATTTTTGTTGTAATTATAACATTTATAGTACAAAGAAATGATTAATGAATTCGGTTCCTACACATAAAAATTAAAAGTATCATAAGCATGTTGATATAGACATTTATTCTTTAGATAAAATAAATAAATATCATTTGTATTGATTAATAATATGCAATTTTGGTATTCTGAAAATAACGATGAATAGATTTAAACAATATTAATTCCTATATGAAAAAATGCCTATCTAATTCATGAAATATTTTCTAAATTTTGACCTTCGTGATGACATAATAAAAACATTCATGTTAACCAAAATAATGTAGCTAGTTTTTTTAATAAGACTACTCAAAAGAATCTAAAACATAACTACAAAGATTTAGGTGTCTTGTCAGTAAGATATAATAACCCCATATATACAATTTTTATTACCCATGTTTTTAGTTCAATGAGTTAACAATTTAGTATGGACCAGAGGTAAGCTGCACAGTATTATGAAAAATACTTAGGACCCAAGAGCAGGAAAAAAATATTACCATATGAGCTCATAATTTTCTAACATTTAAAACAGAAAACAGGGCATATTATGATATTCCAGTATCCATGTTAAAAAATAGTTTACCAGACCTTTGTAGATTTTTGGGTTCAAATTATTTCAATTCAGTAGTATTAAAAAAAATACAACACGATATTATAGCAATTCATTAAAAATGTATCAAAATATCAAATAAAAACTTACGTAATATTTTTGCAGAATATATTATCTATATTCCACAAAAAGAACCCAAACAGGTATAATGCTATTGCAACTACAAACATACGTTTGCAGACAGCACATTTAAATTCTAATATTAGTTTGATTTCCTGTGCTAAAGATATAGCAACTAATATACCATAACAAAAATGTTGTAGTAATGGTTGTGGCCAAGCAAGATAAATTATTGCAAATCCAATACTTATAATTATTAATATTAATAACAATAATTTATTCGGAATAATCTTAGATCTCATATCATGTTTCACTATTGATCTGTAAAAAAAAACGTAATATTACATTAGAATTTTAAAGAAAATTAGATTTTTAATAAGCTTACAAGCAATAAACACAATAACATGTCCCCCAAACCATTGGTAATTCATCAAATAACTGCATTTCATACAAAAGTGTCATGTGGAACGCCAAACTGCCAAAACCAACCACTAAAAATGTCATATACTTGTTTTAAATTATCAAAATAATTATATTGTAGACTTTACATACCCAAAATGAATGAATAACAAAAAAAAAATCTTTGCGCAAATTTTTGTTTTTTCATGTCCCAAATACCCCATAATGGAGGTATTATCATCATTAAATTACTGATAGTGTTCCCTTTAATAAATTAAAAATAATACTTAAAATTATTATTACTTCTTAATTTTAACCTACTTACACATTTCAGCAACATAGTAATTTACTTCGTAATTTTTCTCACACCAATCAATGGTAGCTGTAGGTTTACCCCAATAACCTGTGTTATTGGATTCTTGAAAAGCCATTGGTATCTACATTAAAATTAAAACATAAATATACATCTTAAATATCATTGCTTGTGTTGAATAACTTAATAGAACAAAACTAGTAAAAAAAAAATATAAATTTACACATCCACAATCCATTATTTATAATATAATATCAAACATTTGTATACTTAGCAGAATATTTAAAAATATTTTTATTATTATTAACTTTCCCAATTTTGGACCACTAGTTATTAGCGGGGCTCAAACCTTCTTGTGTTTGGATATTTCTGGGATAGTTACATATTAAAAATCTGATTCAACACAAATATATTTCAAAATATATTCAACCCAAATAGTCAATTCTAAAAATTAATTTTGAATATTTTATTTAGTATTTTTGGTGCAAACAACGTATCAAGGAGTCCAAATTTAAAAACCCACAGATCACAGTATATAATAATAATTATATACTTATAGTTATTATATTAAAATATAGTTTTCCTGAAGCGACCCAACTACTTTCTTCTTTGTTGTTGGGCAGAGACCAAAAAACAATATCCATCACATAAATATTACAAGCAATTGTTTTTTACTCCTAGCGCCACATGAAAAAAAAATTGAAAAAATTGAATTAAAAAAATACTATGGTTTTTTATTAAATGTCATGTTCATAAATTGTATGGCTTATATGTAATAATTAATGACTAATAGACAATTAAAGGCCATTACAAATAACATGCCATGTAAAAATTCATAATTTGTACAATATCTTAGAATGTGTTAAACAAGACTAACGCTGATCTACCTAATTGTTCATGTTAAACTAATGTGCTGAAATCATAATAATTAAATGTGGTGGTCACTAACATATGTTATGTCTTGGGCTTTGAACAAATAGTAAGGATAATACCCGTAGATCCATAGTCTCAGAAACAGGAAAACACAAAATAATTTTCATTGAAAATGTGCGTTATTGATAATTGTATAGGTACCTATAACATATTTTATTTATTTCTACCTACTAGGTATACCTACATTCTATGGTCATACTACAAGATCATCGAATCCCATCTGAGTTTGTTATGAAATCATACATGACCAAACTACATACTAAACTCCTTCATATTTATTTATCATAGAAAAATTAAAATTAGGTACCTACTCAAATATTTTATAAACTATGAAAAGTCAGTATAAATATTAAACTTCTTTGTATTGTTTTAAATTAGAATATTTTAGGTTTTTTAAACACATCTTAAAAACATAAAAAAATATTTAAGGTATTATATAATAGTTTATAAACACTAAAATACAAGTAACATATTATACAAATGCAATAAATGTCTAAGTGTAAGAAACACAGTGATCAATAAATATAATATTTTTTAATCAAGACTTTCTACTTCCTAGTTTTAAACACTTGGTTATTATTTACATTTTAAACACACATTAAAAACATATCACGCTTTAAAATACCTATCTACGTGATATGTTTTAATTATAAATTATAATGTTAAATATAGTTTCGTTTATTGATATTACATGTAGTTATTTTTTTGTTCTATTGAATTTACATTTTTCATTATATTATAACGGGTAAACTTTTAGAGCATGTTAATCACAAATCAATAGAAGACACTAGAATATATTCTCACAGAATAAATTATATACTGATAACTAATTCAACACAAGTACCTATGTATTTTCAAGAATTAAATATAGATATCATTGATATGTCAAGCAAGTAGGTATAAACCACTTCACAATTTGCTTGTTGAAATTTTAACATAAATTATCACTCAGAGAATGGGTATTTTAATGTTTGAAATTTATAGTAGATTTTATTTAAACTATTTAAACAATAAGAATTGAGTAAATTATAAGCTCTAAAAATATTTAAATTTATTAATACTTCATAATTAGGTATATATTAATGGATATAATTGTAGTTTAAAAATCTCATTAAAATAATTCCTAAATGTTTACATTTGAAAAACTGGTTAAAAATATTAATTAGGAATAGTAGGTACCTATTCAATTTATATTAAATTTAAAAAAAAATAAATATTATATATAAAAAAAATATATAAATACTAAAATAGGTACCCATATAATTTAGAACATATTTAAGTATTTAGGGAGTTTAAATATTAAGCACATAATATTCCATATTTCCATCATTAAGTTGACTAAAATAGGAAGTTAAATCTAAGTTACTATACTTTATAGTATTTAAGTATAGTAAATAGATAGAAAAATAAAAACTTAATGTTTAAACAAAGTAAATTACCACAATTCTAGTTTTAATTTAAATATACAATAATATAGGTACATACAAAATATTTTTATAATATAATACTATCCGTACTATAGGTACCTAGCTCGGTACCTAGGTAGGTATGTTATAGTTTGAATATTATCAAATATTAAAATTTAAACTGTACATTTTAAAACAAGTCTAATACAAGTATACAATGATATCTAAATAAAGTATACACTAAGTAAATCAGTAACAAACTACATAATGAATAACTAAATAAAAATAAAATAATACATTATTAATATACCTAGGTACCAACAATAGTTAATAGTACTAGACCTAGCTAGTATATATATTATAATATGTCTTACAAAAATAAAAGTTATTATTATGAATGCCAAGATACTTACATATTATGTTTAAATGGTTATTAGTTATAGGTACCTACTACCTAGGTATATTTAAATAAATAATATTAAAATTAAAATTTATAGGTATTATAGATTATTGATGTAAGAGTATGGCAATTTCAGTGAGAAAATGCTCCTTATTACGACTATTGAGAACGATAGCACCGTATATTACTGACATTGTCGTGAACACAAATGGGACTTGGGATCGATGTTAATTTACCTAGAAAACTTTAAGTTCTGAAAACAAAAAAAAACGTAGCAGCATAGAACCACCGACCGCCAGACCGGCACCACCGAGTCGCAATGGAAATCGGTGCGAACTGCGGCGTGCGACAGCGGTCTGTGGCACTGTGCACTGAGCAGCGGCACCGACTGCCGGACATTCCGACACCGTTCTGCCATGGACCGCACGTTCCTCCGGGAGATATGTATATTATTGTATAATGTAATATGTATTTCACATAACGTTCGGAAACGGTGATGTCATTGACTCATACAGTGCAGCCACCACGACGGATGAGATATCGGTCGATGGTAGCGTGCAAAATTGTATCGACGATTTTGAGTTTTTTTAACCAAACGGGTAACAACCAACAATTAACGACGTCCACCGAGTGCTGAGGCACTGACTACCGTAGTAAAACTGTGCAAGGAATAAATTATAAGGAAATAGGAATAACAATAATAACAATTAAAATATGCTACGGATGTCCACGTCTTAAACAAGGGGACAGCGGATCGTTCAAAGCACAAAACTTCAAACCACGGTCGTACAAAACCGGGCTACAAACCATTCGACTGCTCGGATCACGAATCCGATAGAACCGATACGGTCGTCGTCTCGAGCACAGTATCTTTCCGTCTTTATAAGTCTATGATACCTATTACCTGGAGATGCCCTGTGGCCAGCAGTGGTCGCAAGTCGCTCACTCGCTCCACTGTTAAACGTCATCTGGTCGTCGATTTATAATTTATCCCTCCCACCTCCCCGCGGACGCATACTCACAAGTCGCAAGCTACACACCCCTCAACCCACAAACGCCGCAACACCAACGGCGCCAATTTTGTTGATTTCCCGCAGCGGTGGTCGAACGGGTTACTCGCCGCCGGTGCAGCGCGCTCTCGCGGAATCGACAAGCCTCTCTCCGCGAGCTCATTTAGTCATTTCCGACAACGACGCAATGGTAAAAGTCGACTGCTGCATGACGGTTTGCGCGCGCTCCACTTGCAGTTTCCCGACCGCACAGGCACCGAATTCCCACTGACGACCGTCAAAAATGGCCGTCGCCGTTCACGTATGATCTCGCTCGCTCCGCATCTCGTTTCGTGTCGATTGAGATAACGCCATCTCCTCGTCTCATTCGTCCGCGCCCGTTTCGATTTCAAAATATGCATCGCTCCGACCGTTTTTGAATTCCGTTGCGCGACCCCGCCACTCCTGAGGCATGACTATCATAGTGTTCCTCATCGACACCTCGGCGTCCATGTGCCAGCGGACGTACATGGGTGGCCGGCCGACACTCTTGGACATCGCCAAAGGGGCCGTCGAGTCCTTTGTCAAGGTTTGCGCCTCGGCCCACCCGCACGTCTCCCTTATCGTCGGTTCATTTGCCGCCTTTGTGCCATGAACCACCGACCCAAATGGTTGTTTTGTTTTCATTTTTATTTTTTTTCTTCCTTGATATAGGTGAGACAGCGATCTTCAGAGAGCCGAGGTGATAGATACATGTTGTTAACGTTTGAAGAACCGCCAGCCAACATCAAGGTACCTATTACATACCTACTATCATGATGGACATGATGTCTTATTGTCATAGGTTTAATCTGTAAAAAGATTCGGTAACAACTGGCCCTGGATAGTTTGTTTGAACATTCAAGAAAATCTCTAAGGGAAAGTGCTAAAATATGGCTCACATGAGATGCAAATATTTTTTTAAAAATGTGAAGAAATTGTTAGTGAAATTTTAAAACAAGAGTTAATGTATCAAGAATATTTTTTTTATACATTCATCTAACTATTGTTAATTTACTGTTATTATATTATTTACTTTAATGAAAATGATACTCAAGGCCATAACTGAAAACAATTGGTTTTTTTTTTGGTAGGGGGGTCTAATATTTGTTTAATTTAGATACTAGATATATACTGGACTCTTATCATTTTTACATTCAATATATAAAAACTTAATTCTCGTTATTGATGCCTCATTAACAATATACAATTATTTGTAATACAGAAGTTAGCCAATAAACAATATTTACTGCTAAAATGTTACTATATTTAACCCCCCCCCCCTCAGTTAAGGCCTTGTTGATTCTTATGTACTTGAAGAATTTTCTTCTCCTATAGATATTTTTAATTG